TTGCTATGTATTAAAGCTTTTATTTTTTAATAATATATATATATATACAGTATATACAGACATATGGATTGAGTGGTTTTTGTATCGCCCGAATATAATATTATATACCATCGACAAAAAATATTTTATTGAATGAATTGCAATATACTGTTATATAAAATATATAACATATTTGTGGAAAGCCTACTCTTAGCTCAATATTATATTTCGATTGGCTTTCTATAAGTTAAATACTCAACACAAACATAAACACAAAACTCTATTCGAGTTTATCTTAACTTATAAATTGAAAGATTGCTCCAAATGTTCACTCAATACACACACACTGCAAGCGATACACCAATTCATGTGTGCTTTCCATTCATTGTATATTCAGTGCCCAATGATTGCTAAACTATAAACATCATTGAAACTAAATTCAAATGTGAATTCATATTTGGTGGGTGCGATCAATACGATAACACTCTTTGTGTCCAATAATTGCATTGAAATACGAACTGAAAACACAAAATGTAAAACAAACGCAACGTTTGCTACAATATATATCTCTCATATGATTATGATTTCAATTTATGAATCAGTAAAATAGCATTATTTATACATAGCATCAAAGTGTAGCTCCAATGCCTTCAAACTCACTCTTCTGTATATTTTTGCGCATTTGTCAAGAGGTATATGAAGAGAGCCCAGGGATATGAGAGATAGAGATATGTAGCGGAGGTGAGACTCTCCCGATGAACCAAATATGAGTTACTTGTGATCATCCACTGGTACTGTACTTATAGCACATCCACATACCAGTGCTGTGAACATAGAGAGACGGCAATGCATCTGAGAGGGGGAGCCTTTGGAGCGATGATGCGCTGGTGATCCCTCGGGATGTGAGGGTGAAATGCCATGTGATATACAGTATATAGTAGTATATAGTATAGGGCTAATCAAAGAAGGCTACACTTGATTTGATGCCACTGTTCACTGTATTTGTCTCTCCATTCACTCTACACTACACCATACAGTCACACAGTCTTGTATTGACTGATAGCAAAGCAATGCATTTATAACCGAAATCGACATTGAAATGAGAGCAAAGATGCGGTAGAGATGTAGGGGAAGGCATGTTAGCGATGCTCACAGCATACTGTATGTCGATATTTGCAATATTTATATTATATTTGCTGCACATAATGCACTGGTAGTCTATTAGTGTTTGCATTATTGGAAGCATATTTTGAAGCAATAGTATGTTTGAAAATACTTCATACTTTCTATTTAGCATTTATATGGAGGCATATTATGCGTAAATGGAACTGGATTTGCATAGTTTCACCTACCAGTGCTACCAGTGCACTATGGATGTTGAGTAGAGTTTATGTCTTATTTGGTCATAATCTAAATACTCGTATTCTCTGCTCTTCTCAAACCATTCTTCTCAACACAACTCCAAACCTTTCAAAGAATAAACTCTTATTTTTAGGTCGATTTGCATTTTCAACCGATTAGAGCATTCAATGTATGCAAAGCTCGAGTTAAACCTTTTTATAGAAGCACTCATTCACTAAATAGGGTATTCACTCTACACTACACCATACAGTCACACAGTCTTGTATTGACTGATAGCAAAGCAATGCATTTATAACCGAAATCGACATTGAAATGAGAGCAAAGATGCGGTAGAGATGTAGGGGAAGGCATGCTAGCGATGCTCACAGCATACTGTATGTCGATATTTGCAATATTTATATTATATTTGGTGCACATAATGCACTGGTAGTCTATTAGTGTTTGCATTATTGGAAGCATATTTTGAAGCAATAGTATGTTTTTCAAATACTTCATACTTTCTATTTAGCATTTATATGGAGGCATATTATGCGTAAATGGAACTGGATTTGCATAGTTTCACCTACCAGTGCTACCAGTGCACTGTGGATGTTGAGTAGAGTTTATGTCTTATTTGGTCATAATCTAAATACTCGTATTCTCTGCTCTTCTCAAACCATTCTTCTCAACACAACTCTCCAAACCTTTCAAAGAATAAACTCTTATTTTTAGGTCGATTTGCATTTTCAACCGATTAGAGCATTCAATGTATGCAAAGCTCGAGTTAAACCTTTTTATAGAAGCACTCATTCACTAAATAGGGATCCAAACGAGTAGAATATGAGACAAATTGAAATAAATGCATAAATGCAGGCAATACTCCACTACTGTACTCACTGCTAGCCATACGATATAATAGTCTCACTATTTCTGATTTATATGATTCATGTTAAGCATTGTATCGCAATATAACTGTAATCCTTCCCTAATTAGGTCTTTGCATATATTCATACATTTGAGTCAATGATTAGTCTAAACACTAATTTTAGATGCAATTCAATGTAGACAATGACAGAATATTCTACAGGACTTGGCATTTCCATACCATTACTCCAGTTGTTTGACTAATAAACTTATGAACCAATCATTTAAACTAGTCTTTCATATAATTTCCAATCGTTCATTGCTATCTAAATATGTTTGTAATAATTCTCAACATTTTCTTTAAGTGACTCATCTGTCAAATCATTATATTATTTATCTTTTAATATAATTCAAAGCAATTTGAATTTAATTCATATAAAAATTTAGATTTTTGCTCAAATATTTTATTAGCAAATACTCAGAGAAAGCAAACTGTTTGGATGGGTATTAGTCGTGTGCCATCGCATCGAAATGTTGTAATTTGAGGCATAGATGTGCCACAATAGTAGCTCTCTCTCTCTCTCTCTGAATGCTATTGTGTAGGAACGGCATCTCAAGTAGAGCCAGGCATATGTGACATCACTCTAATCCCTTTGTAAATCCCTCTCTGATAAATGGACTCAAATCCGTATATCTCTTCACAATACGCTTGTAATTGAAAACTGCATATTTGATGGATAGACTGGCTGTGAGTGGTTGAGGCACTCGTATTCACTCTCCAGTCGAGTCCATACATTCATACAATTATAATATAATGCTAACATAACTCAAATCAGTGTATTTTTATTTTATATATTTGTCTCATTTATATTTTATAATCTATTTGATTTTATTCTATAAAATAGTTTTATTTTTATGCAAAATTTATTTCAAAACTTCGATTAAATTTAGATTTTTTTGTAGAATATTATAATAGATTACAAATTATTCATTTGTTGTTTATATGTATAATTTATTAAACTAATATCAAAAGGTATATACGGTATCTATTTTATAAACAAATTTATTAAATAATTGAATGAATTTGAGTTTTAAAATGTCAAATTGAATTTCAATAAAACAAATTGAAAAGGGAATCGATTGCATAACTGTATTGATATGACTGTACACTGAGTTCATCGAAACAATGAAACTATAATTTCAAGTAAATGTAAGAAAATTGAAGGCAAGGGACGGCCAATGCGTTGACTGAGGGGTTGTTTATATGTATGACTGGATTTACAACGATTTGGTCGGAACTCATAAATCGTAGGAATGACTGCAATTCTTGTCGACCGTTGAATCAGATAATGGCTGACACATGGATTGTGAGAGTTTGTATCACTTTGTGTTATATTCTCAACAATTCTGTGTTATTCTGTTGTGTCGTACACTGTATTCACTATAAATTTGACGGCAAGTGTGCTGTCATTGAAATCTCGAGGAAACAAATGTTATTCTTATGGAAACGCATTCACCTCTAAGTATAGACTACAGCGGCAGTTGACACGAGAGACAGGATAGCGGGGAAAGGCATGTCTTAAAGGGAGGCAATAGTAGAAATGGTGGTTCAATGGCTTTAATTATTCTGTGAGCTGCTAAATATTTAAAGTTGCAAGTGAACAACATGCCGGTGCTGTGTGCACGCCATCATGTAGTGTAATGTTATGTAGTCGTGAAATGTGATGATATTCCCCATAGAGTTAGACAAAGCGTTGCCAAACCTATGCCTTCATGGCATGCATTCGCTCTGTTATGCCTCAAACAAGTAGTACAGTTAGAGCACAGGCTGTCTGTGCCGTACCAGTGATGCCATTGCTTGTAATACTGTATAAGAGTATAACGAGATAAACTCAGCGGCAATTTTATCGCTATCATTGCTTTCATTATCAGTTTTAATATGATTATCAGTGGCGTAGCCTTACATCAAATGAATTACACATTCTGTGCAAAAGTCAATATTCAAACCGTTAATAATTATATTCAACGTTTCATTCGCTTTATTTAATATAATATTAACTTATAGTAAATGTATTCTCAAACTATCGCTACTCTATTACAGCAATTGAATCCCAAATTCTGACTCTCAATGCCTTTCAATGCCTTCCGATTTATGTAAGAAAAGAGTAGAAAATATTACAAAGTTATGGATCACTAAAAGACTCTTTTGGGGCCAATTAGCTGACACAAGCCTTAGTCTTATCTCTGCTTTTCTTTCACAAAATGCATGCTTTACTACAACACTAACTCAATGCTAACTTATTTTGTGGCGGTTTTCACCATATTTTTAATGATTCCTTTGAGAGACTCATAAAGAAGACCAAAAAATGCTTGCAAAGCACACACCATATCACATCCCATTGAAACATATTTCTCATTCAAATATAAGCCATTCATTGCTAAATGATTAGTAATTTAGTGGACAAAGAGTTAGTAGCGATTAGAGTGTTGTTAATATGTAAGTGTATTTGACTGGTTAAGCAAATCTCATCCAAATGATAGGCTTTGCTGAGATGGCAATCCTAGAGTGTGAGCACAAGTGTTAAGAAGCCATTTGGGAGCGATTAGGTGCTGCTGTGCTAACTATCATCACAACTAACACTTAAGTCATACAATACATAAGCAATACATACAATACTGTACTTAACCTGTGGTGCGTTGTGTTGGGCACAAAAAAGCCTATGATTTTCGTACAACTATTCACAGCTCTGTTAAGAATCCCAATGAGATTTGGGGTTAAAAACAGATTTGTGCGGATTTACCTGCACTTGCCTTTCATGGCAGAGCACATGCCGCTGATGTCTTGGGACACTGTTGTGCACCGACTCTTGGGACCGATCTTACGTGTAACCCGTCATACAGTTATACAGTTATACTGTTATACAAGACTACATCACTCATGGGATTCAATGGCACAGACCGTCCAATAGATTTCGTATAACTCTTACACCATTTCCACTAATACTTTAGGCGTTTTTATGCACATTAAGACACACTTGTGTTTAACGACAAACTTTTATCCCCAAAACAACAAACGCTAACTCTATTTGATTTGATTTAAATTTATGTTAACTCATGTGTTGAATATATTTATATAAAATATAGATTTATGAAAATATGATTGTTCTCAACATTTTACTCAAAAACTTCTTTTTTGTGTATTTTGCAGATTTTTCCTCAAATTCTTCCTGAAATGTAACCAAAACTGTTTGAAGAACGCGGGAAACCCCAGAGATATGAGACGCTTTCAGGTATGCATTCAATCGTTCAGACATTCACATGAAGTGCTTGAAGGAGTACTTCTCACTATTCAAGACTTCATTATTATTTATGAAATTGCATTGACTTGAGAGATGAGATGCGACTCCACTGGCTCTCTGATGGGGTCTCTTCTGTGCTTATCTTTGCGAATAAAAATATATATATATTTCGTGCCCAGACTTTTCAATGCTATGTTTAAAGTTCCCAACATTTATATGTGTTTTAATGCTGGATGTGTTGGAACTGTATTTCTCTGTATTTCTCTGTGGGCACAAAACTGAATAATACTTAAGCTCTTCAACGCCTAACTTCTCACTATTTTCCATTCTCTCAACATATGACTCTCTCTCTCTCTCTCTCTCTCTCCACTACTCACTCACTCATTCTCTGAATGCTAGTATTAGTCGAAAGCAAAAAAAAGAGAGAGTTTTTTCAAAATTAGATAAGAAAACTCAGCTCGACTTGAATTTTGATGATATTTGTTCGCAAGAATAGCTTTCATATGCTTTATGGATGTGTGTGTGTGTGTGTGTGTGTGTGTGTGTGTGTGTGAGAGAGAGAGAGAGAGCAAAGTTTTTTGAAAGGGCTCTAAAATGGAGTAACATTACTAACATGAGTACAAAAAATAATTTTTGCCACCGCCTATAGGGGTTTCTCTTTGTGTCAACTATATTATACAATACAAGCATATAGTCTTTCCCCTTGAGATGCATATCATTAAATATGGTATAAAGAGTGTAAAGAGTCTGTGTTTGGTATTCTTCACCGACGATAATGTGAGCCTATCTTCTGGTTCTAGTATTACATGCCTTTGCAAAGTGTTAGACGAAAGCCAACTATTACTTAAACTAATAGACAGTCAATATATGCACACTTCTCCACCAAAACTAATGATAATTATTATGAAATTCACGTTTTTTCCTGTTTTGCATTTTATTCAGCCAGCAGTCGACACAAATATATAACAAAAAAGAGTATAATTTTCATTAAATAATTATATAAAGAATTTGTAAAATATATAATTTTATTGAAACCAGCGAATGTGAAACACATTTCCTGATAGTGTCTATAGTATACTGTATATAGAGTAGTAGTCTTATGGGCTTTCTCTGCATCCCTGAGCCGATGCCTTAGCGACTGGTGAGTGAGAAAAGGATATTTCGATTCTCTTGAGATCAGCCATCTTTGGTTTGCGCGTATATGTTGTCGACACAAATGCATCAATGAATTGCTGTTTTCTTTCTATAAGAATCTAGTTTTCCGTCATTTGAATAAATTTCTTCAATAATAAGAATATTATGAGGAAAATAGGAATAAGTTTACAATTCATTGTTATTAGAATTTAGTTGTATTTGTTTTTGTAATTCAAAAGATGTTAACTTTATTCGAGAGAGAATTGTTAGCATACAGTATATAGAGATAGAAAACAAATTCTGTATTACATGTACACAGAATATATTGAATCCAATTCTGACTCTTATTTTGACATTCGCTGTTTAAAAACATGCCATGAATTTGATAGCAAATGCCCTGAAAATTTTTCCAAACCCCAATTGTTTCTGCTATTTTCAAGAGAAGCAAATTATTGACAAACAATTTCTCAAAGCAATCACTTTCTGCTTTTTTGTGCCGTTTATTGACTTCATTTAGGTCTACGCTATTTTGTGCCCACAGTATGTCTGTTCACAAGAATGTAGCTTTAGTTTTGTTTATTTGATACTACAGTGCATTGGCTGTGTATTTAAACTAAACCCACAAACCCTGTGCTCACAATTAGGAAAAACTTTTATGCGATCAGAATATTAACGACTATTTCTACTGTATTATGCTGTCATTTCGGCAAATTTCTAATATTTATATCTTTTATTATAATTAATGTTTGAAACCTATTAATAAATTATTAAACAGGCAAAAAACTTATTTTCAATTAAGTATTTTATTTATTATTATAACTTATTTTTCTGTTTGATTAATATTTTGACTTTAGTTTTGACTTTTCCAAAATATATGTTTATTTCTGTCGTTTACTGTTTCAGTTCTGTTTAGTTTCATATTTTCAAAATTGTTTTGAACTTTTCAACAAAAATCAGACTAAAACTATACCCTCTCTACAGTCCAAATGAATAACAGTTAGCACTCATTATCGCACTTAAGGCTCGTTTTTATTTGTGGTGTTAAGTGAAAAATAATTACAGGATATGGACGTGCGGTTAGAATTGAGTTCAACACAAACATGACTGACATTTCATATAGTAATAAGTCGTCCGAAATGTGTGATCCGCCAGTCATTGCTTTCCATGATTTTGCTTTCGATAACATCATTATCTCTCTCTTCCCTAATATATTGATCGCTTGTGTTAACACTTATTTGCCTCCAATTCTTAGAATATATTATTTCTATTATAAATATTCTTGAGATTCCCGTTTCATATGCAATATATTTCATATTATGGACTTTAAATATAATTTTATTTAAAAATTAATTCAAAACAGATTTTCATTAATGAAATTTCCCAGTAATACATTCTTATCACAGAATTATATCTACTTTCAAAATCTTTGCATTTCATAAACAGTCTATTATGAAAATTATTATATTCATTATGAAATATTAATACAATTTTTCAATAAGCAGGTGATTATATCGACACAAGTGAGTGTCGAGGGAACTCTATTAGCCGTTTCCGACAACATGTTTGTTCACAATAACTCCAAACACGGCAGACGAGCAAAAAGATTGGACGCCTCTGAAGGTAACTGCTATTAAATATCACATGAGATCATGTCTTTACAATTATTGGCCACTATTTTAATTGATATGTTTTGCAAAAATAAATCAATAAATATTTGTTAAGTTAAGAGGAGTGTAGGGTTTCAGAGCAATACTAGACTCGACTGTCACTGCCATAGCCCTTGTTTTTGTGTGGCATAGTATGGCCTACCAGTGCATAGCCCTTATCCGTTGCGTTCACTTCTAATTCGTTGTTCACAACATAAGAAAGTAATTCTGGCGTTGAATCGCCTCAAAGCATAGGATGCAGTACTGGAACAGATCTGATCCCATGAGATGATCCATACATACAAGCGCTACAAAGGGAACGATAAAACATGACTATCAGGGATGTGCAGCCAACTCACGCCAGTTGTAGGCGTTTGTGAATACAGAATATTTTGTCATAAAATCTCGCAAACACTTATTTTAAACAAACATTAGCCTCAGGGATGTTTTTGGTGATACCCGTCTCGATGCACTTTTCGTGATTACTATGCTTTAGGTTAAGAAAATTATGCCATAAATATATCCTCTGTTTTATTTGATGTGTTTAAACATGAAATATACAAGACTTGTGTTGTTATAAATAAATGAAAAAGTGATACAAAAATAAAATTAAAGTTAGAAAACAATATATTTATTATCTTGAACAGTACTGTACTGTATATGCAGTTGAGTCAATACACTATGATATAAATTTGATACAATTGTTGGGAAACGTAAAGCGAAATGATGTGAACTAATAGTATATTTCTTTTATACTTATTTCTAATCTCATGCATCACTAGATTTCACATTAGTATCAATTGATTCAATGCTTTTATAAGTGATATATCTTAAAATCTGTTATAATGACTAAAAATTGTATGCTTTAAATTTGGCTTTTTTCTTATCGACAAATACTTATTTACAGAATAAAACATTACATAAATAGTCATTTTGGGTATTCCTTAGAGTGAGACCTAAAGCTTATAAAGTTATGGCTTTTAATATAAATTTAAAGTAATGTTTCATCAATATATATGATATTATAGTATGTGAAAAGACTGAAGGACTCAAAATTATTCATTTATATCATATAAGAGTTTATATAACACTATAGACGAGTAAAACTATTTGTAAGGAAAGAGAGAAAAATACAATTTATATACAATTGAAGACTTAAATAGTGAAAGAAATTGTAAGTTCTTTGAGTTAGACTTAATAGGATTAATAGAAGGTTTGCGCCTTATATTGACTTTGAATGTAATAAAAAGTATATATACTATAGAGTTATGCTCCCAATATGTGTGTATCCTTTGGCTGCACTGGTAGGCACTGGTAGACACAGATAGAGGCAAATGTGACAAAACCAATTGAAGTCAATTGTCGCTTAACTCAATGAAAAACTTTTAACAGTCCGTAATATGAGCCCAGCCTTAAGGACACAAAAGGACAAAATGTAAACGTGTCTTGGTTTTAGATGAGGCTCCCGGTGCTCGGCACTACTGGTGCTCTGAGTGTCAAATATTGCCATTATTTTTCTTATTTAGTTTTTCGCCAAATATATATTGTATTGAATGTATTGAATGACTAATTTATGCGATTCATGCCATCAGTTCCCTTTACAGCCACTCCATGTATTAAAGCCATCAGTCCGACCGAGGGCTGGACTTCTGGCGGCTCTACTGTTATCATAATCGGTGATAATTTCTTCGATGGACTCCAAGTTGTTTTCGGAACTATGTTGGTCTGGAGTGAGGTATGGGTCACATCATTACCAAACATTATATTGCCATTCATTTGATCGCTATTTATATATTATTTCTAACATCGACTCTAATTTGTTTTCATTAAAGTTTGTCACTTCACACGCCATTAAAGTACAAACCCCTCCGAGACATATACCCGGTGTGGTTGAGGTGACCCTCTCTTATAAATCAAAGCAGTTTTGTAAGGGAGCACCGGGGAGATTTGTTTATGTTTGTAAGTGTCCACTTATTCACTACTCTTATTCTCTAAAATTACATTCAATTTATAAATGTTATAACTAAATAAATATTTAATGTATTTGTTTTTAAACTAAATACTGCTTTAATCGATCAAATTCTCGACTTATCATCACTTAATATATTATTAAAATGAAAAATATATTGAGAAATAAACATAACTTTAGCAAAACACAGTATATTTTAGAGATTGCATAAGAATCGAGTGTATGTTTTGGCAAAAACACCATTTATTCAGTTAAACATCTTTGGCTCCGGTTTATTGCAAATGTATTTTATTTATTCTTCTGATTCTACGACAACTGGAAGAATGAGTATCTCGATTGAGCCAAAGTCTGTAAAGTATCACAAAACAGATAGTTTATTCAAATTCATATTAAACTTTTGGATAGACTTTGAAAAATTTGTTCGTATTTTAAATTAATCTTTTTTGCCAAATATATATATTCTTTATTACAAAGTAATAAATAACTTCTCTGTCAGTCCTTAGCCTTTAATCTTCAAACCGTTATTCCATTCAATGCTATATAACGTGAATAACACATAAAATCGAAATAAAACAGATATATATATATTCTTTATTACAAAGTAATAAATAACTTCTCTGTCAGTCCTTAGCCTTTAATCTTCAAACCGTTATTCCATTCAATGCTATATAACGTGAATAACACATAAAATCGAAATAAAACAGAGAATAGAAATTTTGATTCAGAAAAAGACACATTTCATGTGAAAATACGATAAAAGCTTAGATAAGACAACCGAAACTAAATGTGAAAATTAGATTCAAAAAACTGAATTCAATTACGAGTGCTATCATTGTGACAATCCTCTCAATACTATACAAGAGTTCATGCATTCATATAATGTTTAGTTCTTTAAATCTAACATTTTGTAAAACAGATATCAATGTAATATTTAAATTAATTCCTTCACAGCATTAAACGAGCCAACCATAGATCACGGATTTCTAAGATTAGCCAAACTTATTCCTCGACATCCGGGAGACCCAGAAAAGCTGCCAAAAGTATGCATTCAATCCCTCCTATGACACTATTGAACGAATTAAACATTGAATTGATTACCAAAAAGGAAATAATACTGAAGAGAGCGGCAGACTTGGCCGAAGCGTTGTATAGTATGCCGCGTAACACACCGTCACAATTGGCTGGACTACCGGCGCCCAGATCTCCGGCCAGTGCGCTGAACAACGCGGCGGCGGCCGCAGCCATGTCGGTCGGATTCAACGCGGCCTATGCCGCCAGTGCAGGTCAGCTCAGCTGTCCTAATGACCAGACACTCTATCATCAGAACCCACCGTCCAATGCATGCTTGGGTTCGTTGGACAGAGTGCCACAAATCACACCATACAATCCCAACACAACCCATAAATCGATGCCATCACATGTTTATTGTTATGTTTATAACGGTATCCAATATTATTAGCAATATTAGCATGAATTTCACGAATCGCACGAATATTCTTTGGTTTTGTTTTATTTTATTTGTTAACTCCCTTCAGATCCTATGATTAGTTATTTTTGTTTCAATAGTTGTGTCCAACAAACAAAAGACATAAACATATGAAATACATTTACAATTGATTAGAAAACTAATAAATGTTTGACGACTACTGCTATCATAGACTACAACCGAACGCAGGCCAGTAGTGTATCGCCGAGTCGTGGCTACGGTTCCAACGCGTCGACCCCTCACAGCAGTAGTGGCGGCAGTTCTTATGGCGGCAACGGAACCGCTGCCACCATGAATGGAGGCTACGGTAGTCCACCGACTAATATGACAACACCAGTGCCCGGCTCTCCCGGTCTGTTCAATGGTACGTCATTCTCTCATAGCTTTTCATATATTCATAGAGAAATAAATATTAATTGAATTTAAGTGGAAAGTGCTTAATATTAATGGTGTTTTTTGTGATAATTATATTGTTTGCTTAGGTATGAGTAGTATAGTGTCTGCCTCGCCATTCGCAGCTATGAACCCGTTTGCATTGCCCACGTGTAACGGCCAGTCGTACGGCTCATCAATTGTATCGTCGACCAAATGATCAAAACAGTGATCAACTCTTTTATGAACACGATTTACATATTATGACAAAACCGTTGTTTTACTGGACGCACATTATATTGAATATTACCATATTCTATATTATAGTGTATTACTGTATATATTATATCATATAATATGAGGATTGTATTCATTTTAAGTATAATTTAGAGCAAACTTTACAACGAATTATATTAATGAGAGAAAGGAGAAAGAGTTTGCAGTTATTAACAAATTTTAATAACAATTATTATAGCTTTCGTCAAAAACATACATTTCAGGAAAACTCATCATAACTTTTATTATTTGATCTCATTTTGTGTGAATTGAAAAGAATTTTCTGATAATTAATACCATAATCGGTGCTTAAATGATGAAAAGCTATACATTATATAATCATTACTTATATACAGACATATATTGAAGATAATTTATTTAATAATTTTTGCTTTAAATGCTTCAAAATGTGCCACAAATTCTATTTCTTGTATAAAGGATTTAAAGCTATCTAACAATGAATGACTTATTATGTATTCAAGAGATATAAAATGCAAAAATACATCAATCATTACGAGAGAGAAAATACATATTATTATTAATATTATTATTATATTGTCTCTAAAAACACTAAATTTGTAAAAATGTTTCAACTTTTTTTTGAGATGATATGATATTTTAATTCATTGCAAAATAAAAAGTTTGACAAATATATATATATACATAAAAATTGGTTTTTTATTATAATATTCTGTTGAATGCAAATATGAGAAAAAATGTTCGTTTTATTATATCATTTAAAATGAAAATAAAACATAAATTTATTAAAAAGTAAATTATGTAAAAATTTCTCTGACTTACTGAAAACACAATATAACAAAAAATAAGTTTTATGTCTTTACTCTCTCTTTAACTTTAAATATTTACCTAAATTTTAATCTAAAGAATTTCTCAAGTGATAATACATTAAAACATCACTTTATATGAATTGTATTCAAATTTTTAATTATCTCTGAATTTATGTCTTTACTCTCTCTTTAACTTTAAATATTTACCTAAATTTTAATCTAAAGAATTTCTCAAGTGATAATACATTAAAACATCACTTTATATGAATTGTATTCAAATTTTTAATTATCTCTGAACAGTTTTATTTATTAAACAAATTATGTAATGTTATTTTAAGTCTGATTTAAAGCAAACAATTTTAATACAAATATTGTTTTTAAAATTTTTTATTTCATTTTATTATTTTGAATGTAACTCTAAAAAGAAATTTTTTGATGTATTTGTGATTCAAATTTTGTGCAATACTTTACTGCTATATAACTACTAATAAAAAACAAATCAATACATAATTTGATAATTGTTTTGCCACTCAATGCAAACAGCAAGTAGCAGTCCATTGAGGCAAACTTGTCGGTGCATACAATGAGCACCGGTACTGATATTGACTCGTTTCCACTCTCTCTACCATCAAACACATGGGTATAGATGAGGCTGTAGTGGCTGTGCTCTGAATCTCTATACAAATATTGAATGAATAGTGGGTTCGCGAAGATTGAAGAGCAGACCAGAACTGATGCATAAATTTATATAATATAGAGTTAATAATGTTGTTATGCAAACCATCTGCTCTCCAATAAATGTGTGTACATTACCTCTTATATGGTATACCGGATCCCCTATATCGTCGCACTACTCCCGACATACATGTCCTCTATTCTGCATATTCTCTACATTTAATGCTTTGCATGTCTTATAATGGAATTAAAGGCAGCGATGGGTTCAGTGAATACTAATGTATTTCACGGACCATACCATTCAAATGATGTCCAATTTGGTGATATTTTGCATATAATAAACAGGTTGTTTCACAAATATAGTTGTCTCTACATTGCCTTTAGAAATATGCAAACATTTATATTGGCTACTATTAACTATAAACACGAATTCCTTAATAAATAATAGACTTCAATAAAATCAATATGACCTGGTCTATTCTGTGTTTGAATTGTAACCAAAAGACATTTTGTAGTGAAAGTCATTTCGATAAGAAAGTGAGTGATGTCTCAACAGTTGTGTTCATTAATAAATGAATTGTTTGAAAACGACATTCACTTTGGATGGAAAGTGGAGTCATAGGAGTCATCGAATAGAGTATAGGTCTGTGCCATAGGACTGGGCCACAGGTGCGACAATTGGTTTAATGAGGTGAGGCTATAGACCAGTGGAATGACTCACTAAATCTAACTCAATATAATTTTCATTGAATTGTCAATTGCATCACAGCTCGCCTTCAAATGGTTAGCACAGGGAGAGTACAGAGAGAGAACATGGAGAGCACAGAGAGCATAGGGAGAGCACAGAGAGCACAGAGAGGGCCACAAATGCCAACTACTACTCCACTGTTACTACTGTTACTGTACTGAATATAACAGTATAAATACAATGAATGCAGTGTTGGATCCAATTATAAGAGTTCACAAAAAGGCATCCAAACTAATACTAATACAGCGCTTATTTGCATACAATTTGGATTTCACCCCAAATTGCAGACACAACTAAACACAGGGTCTGAGCCATACCTTCGTAGCCAAAGCCCGTGTATACGACCCTCGGCTCGGAGTGAGGGCTCGGATCCGCGCAAATGATTTGCAAAACTAATTTGTCCCCTAATAAAGAAATGCCTTATTTTTGCCCATTTGTCAGTTCAGTCGCTCTTTTCGTCTCTCATTTCATCCAATACTGAATAATTCAATCAATTTATGATTTCATTGAAATTAATGACAAAAATAAAAACTTAATTTTCAAATAAAATCTAAAAGTAATTTCGATGAAAGCAAAACAGAAATTAATTATTTATGAACCAAATAAATATAAAGTAGTTTTAGAAACTTTAATTCACTGAATAATTTTATATGTTTTACATTTAACTCAATTTTTGGTATAAATTTATTATATATTTTAAATGTAAGCAATTTTGCTACATATAATGACTGATTTTGAGTATTTTTTAAATTATTAAAATCGTTTGAGATAACTTTTAAAAATAGAGAAATTGCTAAATTTTTAAAAACAAAATGTGATTTAAACTTTAGATCTAAGGATATTTTAATATTCATGGTAAAGTTAAACATTTTCAAAATTGTAGGAAATACTTTAGAAAATATTTTATGTCAATTGGTTCAAAATAGTTTATCTTTTTGCAAGTATATTAGTAATTTATTAAGTAACTTATATTTTATTTGAATCTATAATTAACTACAAAAATGTTTTAATAAAATTAATATTCATAAAATACAATTTTCATAGGAAGCAGTAGTAAAAATAAAATAAAATAAATATAGATTAAAAATAGTCTAGGAAAATTAATCATTAAGGAATTAATATAGTAAATGTGGAATTAATAGAAATAAAATAATATGAAAACTTTAAAATAATAATAATTAGATTAAATTTGTTAACAATTTTGAGTGAACATTAAAAGGCGACAAATAAACATATTTTGAAAGTCTTTCTTATTATAGATAAAAGCGAAGCAAAGATCAGGAACGAGAGAATAGTCATTGTTTTTAAACACGGTTTGGCTTTTAAGTCATTAAAACAAAGAATATTCCAACGGGAGTACC